CGCCATCGTACACCCATACCGCCACCCTACCTCGGCCCCACCCGGATCCCGGGCCCACTCTACTGCTACCTTACCCCAACCCCAAACCCTACCCACTACCCCCACCCTTACCGCCATCCTACCCCCACCGCCATCCTACCCCTTCCCTACCCCAGCCCCACCCTGGTCCCGACCCCACCCTACCGCCATCCTATCCCAACTCCCTACCCTACCCCTACCTTACCCCAACCCCACCCACTACCCCCACCCTTACCGCCAGCCTACCCCCCACCCTACCCCTTCCCTACCCCGGCCCCACCCTGGTCCCGACCCCACCCTACCGCCATCCTATCCCAACTCCCTACCCTACCTTACCCCAACTTTACCCACTACCCCACCCTTAACCCTAACCACGACCCTAACCCACCCACTACCCCCACCCAACCCCTACCCCTAGACCATAACTTCCCTACCCGACCCCTACGAGTAGGTATGCATGGGTGGGTATGAAGGTTTGTGGTGGAGTATGGGTAGAGTGTAAGATCGTGTTAAGGGTAGAGGTAGGGGTCAAGGGTGTGGAATTGGAGAACTGTGTGAAAAAATTGATGAACATGTTTTCAAATTTGAAAATGGAAAACTAAAAAATAGAAACAGAAAATTGGAGATAGAAAAACTGAAAAATAAAAACAGAAAATTGGAGAACGAAAAACAGAAGTAGAAAACAGGAAAATATCTCCGTTAGTAAACAGGCCCTAGGGCCTGTTTACTAACAGAAATATTTTCCAGTTTTCCAGAAAAGTGGAAAACAGAAAACAGGAAACATGTTTACCAAAGAAATTCCTGGAAAACTGGAGAAAGGAAAAAAGAAAAACGCGTTTACCAAATCGTTTTCCAAAACGTAAAAAATGAAGCATGTCTCTCTTTTCCTTAATGATTTGGAGAAGTGACTTTTACTAGTTTTCCAAATTTGGAAAACGCAGATGCTACAGTGTCTTGCAATGAATTTGCATACTTACACCTAGTGGTGGGTCCGGTCCCGCTCCGATGTCGATTCCATTCCGGTACCCTCCATCCTCGTACCTTACCCCTTACCCCTACCCTACCCTACCCTACCCTACCCACCCAACCCCCACCCCGCGTACCCATTTTTCCCTATAATGACCTTACCCCACCCCCCACCACATGCCCCGACCTCGGCCCCACCCCGATCCACCCTACCCTACCGCCACCCCCCTACCACCTCGACCCCACCTCGATCCACCCTACCCTACCGCCACCCCCCTACCACCTCGACCCCACCCCGACCCACCCTACCCTACCCTTACCCCTCGTATATTACCACTTACCCCACTCATCCCCTCCCTTATTCTTCATCTTCAGCCCGCCCCACTCATCCCCTCCCTTATTCTTCATCTTCAGCCCACCCCACTCATCCCCTCCCTTATTCTTCATCTTCAGCCCGCCCACTCTCCCATACACATTCTCTCTTCTTCTTCATTAGGCCGCTGGAGCATTCCTTATTCTCCGCCAGAGCATTCCTTATTCAGAGCCGACTTCAACAAAGCTCTAAAATTGGTCAACCCGGTGGACTGAACAGATCCAAGCTTAAGGAGAAAGTAAAGTCCGCCAGCAAAACATCTCCGGACGCAAGTGAAGAGGCCCGCTCCCAGAGAAAACTGAAGAGGTCCGCTGCCCCAATTGCCCACCTCTACACCTCCAAATTTCAGGGCCGTTTTTTAGGGGGTTTAATAGGTTATCCAGAACAGGGCCCCAGAATTTATGGGGCCCCAAATTTTTAAATTTCTTTTAGTATTATATATTACAGAGTAATATTATATATTAGTACTAATCAGTAAAATACAATTAGTAACGAAGAAAAATATAGATGCATGATTTTTTGTTGGTCATTTTACTCTTTTAATTCTTTTTAATGAGTATATAATTGATTTAAGTATAACTATTTGGATTGATTTTTTTAAAAAAAATTATATTAATTGGGACCTCGATTTTACATTTAGAACCGGGGCCTCCAAATTCATTAGACGGCCCTGCCAAATTTAGATTCCCTTTGTTACTGGGTGCTCAATTGGAAGAAGAACAGAAATGAGGGATAGATTGGGGAGGCAGAAAAACGAACTGGGGAAGAATGTCTGCAGTGGGAAGAAGAGATGGGAGAAAAAATTGGAGGGAAGAAATGGTGGTGCAGCGAAAGAATAAGAAGGAAAGTGGGCCAGAAGAATGAAAAGAGGGAAAGAAAGGGAAAATGAAAGGAAAACAAAAAAAAAGGAAAAAGGTAAAAACTGACACATGTAATGCCACATCAATGGAGTAACCGGTTAACCTGAAATCAACTTGCTAGATTAGAGATGTGGCTGTTTTTATATAGTTGAGGGAGGGTATTGTTTTAGTTAAAGGGCTTAATTGATTTTTTTGGTATAGTTCAAGGGTTAATTTGACAGTTTTTCCTTTTTTTTAAGGAAAAATTCACACAAATAATCCCAACTATTACGACTCTTCTTATAATAATCTCAATTATTAGTAATTCTAGTATAATCTAATTTATAATAGGCATCTTCCCAAAACAAGCCGGTGACCTGAATAAACCATTTCAGTAGGTCACCTGGACACGTGTCATACTTAAATTGGATTATAATTTTTTTTGTTTTTCTTTATTGTTTTCCTACTGTTTCTTCATGAGTTAATTATCAAAATAGGACTAAAAGTCATTCACTTTGCACAAATAGGACCAAAAAATAAACTATGTTTCCATAGGACTAATTATGTTTGTCTTGGACAAATATACCCTTATACCTATTGGAATGTTTTAATTCATAATAAAATAATAAAAAATAATAAAAATTCGTAAAATATACCAAAAAATTAATAAAAATATTTTGAATAATAATTAATTTTAAAAAAAAATAAAAAAAAATAAAAAAAATAAAAAAAATTAAAACAAAATCAAAAAAATATTTTTTTGTCACCGCCGCCTATACCGCCCCAGCACCACCACCTCTAGTCATTTGGGGAAAAAAATGCCAAATTTATTATGAATTTCATATTTTTGGCATAATTCAGAATGATTTATGATGGAAGAAAAAAAATGTTGGCATTCTCAAAGAGAAATATGCCATATTTTTGGCATTTTCCGAAAAAAAAATGGAAGTTTGTAGGAAATATGACATTTTTTTAACGGTCGGAGGTGGTGGTGCAGGGAGGCGGTACCACCACCTCCTGTCACCGGGGTAAAAAAATGCCAAAAAAATTATGAATGCCATATTTTTGGCAAAAGTCAAAAGAATTCAAGTTGGCAGAACGAAAATGTTGGCATTCTCATAGAGAAATATGTCATTTTTGTGGAATTTAAAAAAAAGTGACATTTTTTACACCGATCGGAGATGGTGGTTCAGGGAGGTAGTACAGGCGGTGGGAAAGGTATCCACATTTTTTTTAATTTTTTTTTATGGAGTTTTACTATTTTTTATTAATTTTCAAAAAAAAAATCTTATTTTTTATTTTATAAAAATTTTATTACTTTTTTTATTATTTTTCTACGAAATATTGAAATTTTTTCGAATTTATTATGAATTAAACATTTAATTATGACTTTTAGCTATCTTTTACTAATATTTAAAGGAGGGGTAAGAATGGAAGGAAGAAATGAGTATGTTTCCAATAGGACCACTATGGTCCTATTTTGGAAAAAAAACATAGCAAGTCCTATTTTGAGTTTTTGTCATAGTTTTAGTCCTATTTGAAGTAATTTCTATTTCTCTCCTTTCCATGAGGGCTTGGGCGTACAATGTTTCAGGCGATCAAGGTTGTCAGCACGTCCCTGCAGATCTTCAACGGGGACAGTCTGACTCAGCCGCCCTTCGACGTCGGCTGTCCGACCGTCTTCATCGTCGTTCATCTCGGTTGTTCGTCAACACCGGCCCTCCGATCCGTTGATCTCAAGCGCCATCCGTTTGTTCATCACTGCCAGCTAGCCTGGTATCCATCGTCCTTCTTCCACCACTCAAGTTTTATCATCAACCACGATGCATAATAATGTCTAATTTAAGTTGGGATTTACCAAATTAAATCTTACAAATATGAAAATGAAAGGATGAACTACAAATTTAAGGAACAAATTTGAAAATAAAATGGAAGGTTGGAGGAGATCTCCATGCGCCTTGGATGGAGAAAAAATAAGAGAAAAGAAAAAATAAAAAATAGAGAGGAGAAACTTATGGAGCAGCTATTACGGAAGAAGCTTATTGACAAAACCGACTCCGGCGAAAAATGGACAAAGCGACGGTTAGCTTTTTGTTTTTATTTTAATTTTTTACCACTTGAATAGGTTACCGGTAAACCGGATCAATACGAGAAGACCACTCCTAAATTTGAGATTGTTTTAGAATTATGTGTATTTGGGATTAATATTGGAAGACGGTTGATAGTTGGGATTATCTATGTGAATTTTTTCTTTTTTTAATAATATGGTACGGTACCAATTCTTAAGTGAAAACCATCCCAGAACCGTCCCAAAACCATATTGAATTGAATCGTCCTGAGCCACCCCGTATCATCCGTAAAATTGGCAATGCAAAATGATATTCTGAAGTGCTATTTCCTCTATATTGCAAACTTGATAGGTAAGTCCTTAAAAACCGATGCTGCTACCGCCAATCTTACCAGACCTGTGGCAAATGTGTGTGTGGAATTAGACTTGACTAAATATCTACCACAGAAGATTTGGCTGAAAAAATGGTAACACGAGATTTGTGCAGACTGTCAAATACGAGGACATCCCTAGTTATTGTCTTGAAGATAGGCCATTCATGCTGCGATTCAAAGTCTAATCATAAGACATTAATAACAAAACACAAACAAGCACCACAGAAGCAATGGGTGCTAAAACTAAAAGCACCAAAGAAAGGGTTGTTGATCCTACTGTTCCAATTCAAGATCCTTCCTCAAGTCATTCAAAGGAACCTCTGGTTGCTCCAAATGCTCAAGACACCCAGCCTCTTGAAGTTATTATTGAGGAGGAAATTTCTGCCATTGAATCAGGCCCAAATAAATCAGGGGACTTGGTTACTCCTTCACTGGAAACTGTCCTTATGGAGGAAATCATTATGTTGAACCAGAAACAAAGTTAGTAAAACACACTCTCTCAGACGAAGATAACTTCTTTATTAATAACATGGCGCTTCAGCCTAGTTACCTTAAAACTCGGGCAGTGAGATGATTCGGCCAAGATACTTGGTAAAGCTCATGTAATCACCATTGAAGACGGTCACGTATCTGTCGAAGGAGAGCCTGATCATCCCATTGACCTAAAAACAAATTGATGTTGTTTAAACTATCACATTCATTTCTTACCTCACCTCATGTTGTTTAAAAAGTTTTCATTGTATTACGTATTTCATGTTGTTTATCAAAGGCGATGTGCAATTGTTGGGTTAATGACCGGCCACAGTTTATTTTTAGTCTTAATAATTAGCTTAAAGGCCATATGCAAATATGGAATTGTTGCGTTAATGACCTTTCGTTAGAAATGGCAATTCAATCTCTATATATATCGATGTTCTCTAAACGGTTACCCATTTAAAAACTCGATCGTGTTTTAAAAGTATTCACACATTACTCACATATACATAATATCTAAAATGATAGCAATCATTCAAAGTTATTCATATTTCAAACAATAACCACAAACATCAAACACAATTACCTAGTAATTACACTAATTCTGAGTGATATTAATGTCATTTTTTGAGATGCCTTCAAAATCATCCATAAGTTCAACAACATCAAGAATAGACAATAATTATGTTGAACCACAAATGAAAGACAAATACCTATTTTTAGCAACAAGTTTTCTTTTATTCCCAGAGGTAAAACTCAGAGTATCCTATCACGTAAATCATGAGATGGCAGAAGGATATCTTCAGAGTATCCTGCAAAGTGAGAACGAAATCAACAACGAACAGAGGCCCTTCTTTGATTTCTTCTTCTAAGTGAGAGAGCTAGTGTCAGTCATTGGGCTACCAAACAAGGAAGAGAAAGGCGTTGTTGCTAGCAATGCAGCTCAGTATCGATCCCTGCTATGCAGTGAATGCACGACACAACCTCTATCCCTTGAAAAAACAAAACAAAGACACACTTGAGTCATCAAGAAAGCAGTAGCTCAATAAACTTATCCTTGATCTCAAGCATTGGGTCCCGGTCAACGAGCTGATCACCCTTGTAAGCTTCCCTGAGCATAGCCGTCTTGATCCCTCCCTTCAATGACACGTAAAACAGCCCTGGATGCCTCGCGAACACGTTGGGGAATGCGTTTGAAAACCTGTACTCCTCCCCAAACTTCCCTAGAACTGGAATTGAAACCCTCTTGTGAATAGATAGGGAAAGCAGTTCGTGGAACACACCCACTGTTCTCTTCTCCATATCTCTCGAACACTGTTCCATCCAATCCCTCACCCATTCCCTCATTTCCCTTTTTAAGAAGAAGCCCGGTGGAAGGATCCAATCAAATGCTGGCATCACCCTTATCCCAGTTAACCTTGATTTTTCCTCAGCTCTCTGTTCGATCACTGATTTTGCAAAATCCTCAATTCCAAGTCACCAATTCCAAGAACGCTTTCCCCTCACTACCAGCTAACAACCTGAAATATTCCGGGAATCTGGGAACCAGATTCACTAAGAAATCATTTGGGAACCCGAATTCCCTCTTGGCCTCCAACAATTTACCTGCGCTAATCACTCGATTCCTAGCCATCATCAGCAACTTACATAGCTTACAAACTAAAAAGCTCTCGTTTTGGATGTAAATCCTCTTCTCTTCTTCCAGGAATCGCCTCAGACCCGTACTTGCCCGTAGGAATGGGACGGGTTCGGACTTAGGTCGGATCCGATCCTTATACATGTCGAACAACCCTGGGGTTTGTGAAAGGAAAGTTGTGTGGTTAACACGGAGAGAGAGCCTCTCCCTCCGTTTCTGCAAGTATCGGAGAGGAATTGCCTGACTGGGTTCGTTCATCACCTCTCTCACCACCCTTGCGCCCAGCCTCCATTTCTTATCCTTTTCGATTGCTTCGTCTAGCTTTTGGTCTTTTCGCCAGGGGACTTTGAAATTGAGGCTTGAAATTGAGGAGGCCGCCGCAGCTCCGAGTCTACGGCGGCTGCTTGATGATAGGGAATACACGCTATGTCCATAAATCAACATTACTGCTGCACGGCTGCGAGTGGCGGGCAGATCTTAAAAATTTTACATTGGCCTTCTCCGACCCCTACCTGTCTTCACCTCTTACGGCTGCCACACAAATATCTGTTACTACCTCCGTCCCAAATTGAGTTGCAACTTTGACTTTTCTTGATCAAACAGATTCGTTTTGTTCGCTTAATTGGGATGTCAATTTTTAATTATATTCCAATTTGGAGTTTACAACTTTGAAGATATTTCAATGTAGTTTATGAATATGTAAATTTTAATTATTAAAAATTGAATTAGTTATCAATAAGAAGGTTTGACTTTTATTATTGGTTGACAAAAAAATATTGACTTTGCAAAACAATTTGGGACGGAGGGAGTATTTGACAATAATGAATAATAACATCCATACAAACAAGGAATTACATGAAGTATGGGTCAAATTGATGTTATTTTTCAGATTTCATCATTAATATTGCACAATTACCTCAACAATTTATTGAATATTCAACCATTATATATATTGAGCCCCAAATAACACACAAACACCTATTAATTAACATAAATCCATAACATCACCAAAATATGCCAAGTTAATACAAGATATTTAGGTCAAAATTCATCTTAGATATTGAATAATACAACAATCTACAACACGTACTTCAACACGAGTATGAATAAACAATATACAATAATTGTTTATCATTACACTAGATGATATACAATATATTAGCATACAACATACAAAAAAGATCAAAATATCCCAATTACAGAGGACAGACCATTATATACAAAATCATGATTTGACACTATTATTATGCACATTACATAGTACATACGACTATTAAAGTCGAAGGCATGATCATAAAAAAGATGTTAAATAATCTTTAAAAAAGTTAATTAATGCATATGCTCCTATAAAACATTACTGTACCATCACCATGCACTTTGCTCAGATAACAATATCTTAGTTTAGTAATTACAGTGGACAAGCTTAGAGATCACACTTGATGTATATATCGCCAGATTTTGGTCCATAAAGTTAGCTATTAAATAAACGTAATTGACCAAATGATAATACATTTCTACTTTATTCTCACTTTCTTAAATTCCGACCAAACCTCCAATATATAAGGGCTTATTTTACCTTTTTATGTAAGTTCGATGGCCTATTTGACTATTTTCCCATCATATTTTTAATTTTATATATAAATATTATATTTAGATATTATCCATTTTATTCAATACACATCTTCATTTTTTGAATAAAATATTATGTATTGGTACATTAATTTTTAGCTTAATCTTATAACCATAATTAATTTTGAATGATTGAATTTTCAACATACACATTTAATCTAATACTCCGTCTATAAGTGTATGTGTGTTTATGTACGTAGTATATACTACTCCCTCCGTCCCCCTAAGTTTGGGACGGAGGGGCCGGGTGTGGTGTGGTTTTTAAGAAAAAATGGAATTGTGTGGTTGGTATTGAATTGATAAAGTGTAAATAAAGTAAGAATGAATTCTAACCACTCAAATGTTACCAAATATGGTATGAGACAAACTTAGTGGGACGGACGAAAAAGGTAAAACGGGACAAACTTAGGGGGGCGGAGGGAGTAGTATTAGATTAATATTTTTTTTTATAAAAGTTGACCGGGTTGACCCGGCGTTGACCGGGCTGACCCTCCCGGGTCCGGGTTGACCCTTGACCCGGTCCCTTGCCCGGATCACCTCCCGGTCCGATTTTGACAACAAAGATGAAGAGTGAATCTGAATTAGCAGAATTAGGTCAATAGATAACTAATTAACTATCAAAATATGAATTAAAAATTTATGAAAACTCAACAACAAAGAAATCAATTAATTAATAAAAACTAGTGGGGTGGGGCGGACTGACCTGAAGAGTCAAGAACATGAAGGCTTTCTCTGATTGGCTTGATTGGTGAGGCCTGAGGCAGACAGGCAGTGAAGCCGTGAAGGGGTGAAGGCTAGTAGACGACTCTGCATCACTAGAAGAGTGAGGCCTCAGGATTGAGGAATAAGAAATTGAAGAAATCCGGTAGGCGGCAGGCGGCCAGGCGGCAACCGATAAGCGTCGCCGCGTCGGTAGTAGCGGTTCGTGAGGTCAGAGTAGGGGTGGGATCGGGGTGATCCCGATCCCGATTGCCCAAATCCCGATCCCGTCCCGATCCCGATTCAAACTACAAGATGATCTCGTATCCCGTCCCGATTAAGTCGGGTCCCAACATTAAAATCCTGATTAAGTCGAGATCCCGATCGGGAATCCCGCTTAATCCCGCTAAATCCCGACACTGAAGTATCATACATAAAATTATGTAATTTCTTTAGTTAAACACTAACTTTGATATTTAGTGGTTTCAAGATTATTCTTTAATTTGTTCATTGTTATACCATATTTATCATCATCTACTTATAAAATTTATTATAAAAATTATCATCTCAAATTCACACTAGTACATACTTTTAGAATAATTTTTATTTGTAACTTCAATTAATTAATATAATAACTTTTGAATAAGCTATCAAGGCTTAGTGAAACTTCCTTCAAACTCTATATAAAAATCACTAAAAGAAGGATGTGTAATGTATATTATTTAAAATCCAAAACCAATTAGACTCATTGAGAAACTTATTGACCAATGAATATAATGTATAAATACATATATTATGATTATTTACTAAAGAAAGAAATCTTAGTATCGATCATGATTTTTTAAAGAGTTCATCATAACCACAAAATTTGTAATATTGTTGTGATTTGATTGTTGGGATCAAGAATAATCTCTATTTAGTTATGATCCCGAATATTCATTTTGGGACAAATGCCGCATAGTTTTAGAAGTTTGATATTGTAAGATATTCGTAGTAAAAGATTAATCTATGTAAGGAATAAGTAATTAAAAAAGATGTGCAAATAATTTACATACATATTCATTTTTTATAAATGTATATTCATTTTTTATATATTCATATATAATTATATACATGTATATATAATTATATATATAGGATCTAGGGTTAAGATCCTATGAAAATGAATCACTAGGAGAGAAATGAGAAAGAAATACAGCCCTAGATTATTAGCATCCGATGGTGCATAATTAACCATTCCTAATTAAAAATTAAATGGGACGGACGGTTTTAAAAGGCAAGTGTGCACTGTGCAGCATCATTAATTAACGAGGGCATGAATGTAAAAGAACATAAAACTGCTGGGATGCATATCACGTAATAATTTTTGCACCACTTTCCATATACGCGACTTACCATTGAAATTCCCGCTTACCAAAAAGAAAACAGAGCATTAGAGCATCGGTGATTGTATTTCCATATATCGATGAACTTAAACGGCAGACTACAGTACACCAAGAATAATTGTGCAAAACCTAAGAAGCCGAGAGAAGAGAGAGCAAGTTTGAGAATCGAAAATGGCGAGCGAATAAACATGCAATCCGACCTTGAAGAGTGCAGCAACAGGTACGATTAGTGTGTTTTGTTATGTATGTAATTCGAATTTATTTCTTGATTTTGAAATGGATTTGAAGCATATGAAGTATAGTGAAATAGTGCACCGTTTCAGGGAATTTTTGGGCAGATGATTGTGAATGAAATAATTTGGTTCAAGAAATTTGAGTTTTAAAATTAGTGATTGGTAAATGCACAATGTCATAGTATTCGGTGCTCAGTACAATGGTTGTTTAAGCAAATAAAGAAAACCGGAGATAGGGGAAATATGGTCTTGGATGAAATCTGGTATTTGGAAAATTTTGAGTTGCAATACAGAGAAGTAAAAGTGCACGGAGGGAGGGTTCCACATTTTGGAGTCATGTGCAATAAAAATTTAATAAGAGTGCATGAGGTTAGAATATAAATTTATTATAAGCGCAATCAAATAGTAGGTTAAAGTATTTTGTGTTGTGCATTATGAATTGGAAGTGTATGCGTGAAATAGTAGAATTTAAGCATTTATTTGTTTAAGTGTTGAATTATTGAGGTGTTGTGCATTATGAATACGTAGTTTATGAATTGAGAATTGTTTCGGTTTGAGGTTAGAAGTTTCAAGGCTGAAATTTGAGTTGCAATACCGGTGATTAAAAAGTGCACATATGGAGGGTTTGACAAGTGTATTGGTTTTGTGCACTATAAATTTTGTATGTGTGCATAAGGTTTGTATAAATTCACATGCTGATATTGAGTTTGACATGCATAAGGTTTGTGCATTATAAATTTAGTATGTGTGCACGTATGGAGCGTTTGACATGTGTATAAATTTAATACGTGTGCATAAGTATTGTGCTTCAAATAGTAGGATTTCACTATTTTTGGTTTAAGGTTTGAATTTAAGGTCGTATGCAGTATGTGTGCATAAGTATTGTGCATGTTAATTGTGTAGTTTTTAATGAGTATTGTGTAGTATGAATTGATTATGGGTGCATCATAATTGCATAATTTGTAGTATGTTGAGAACAGATGAAAAAATTGAGAAGAACACCACAGTAAACAAAATTAAGTGTGTGCATCAAATAGCAGGAAGTGACTACTGTTTTTGGTTTGAGGTTTGTAGTCTGAAATTTTGGATTTTTGTGCAGCATGAATTGAATAGTAATGCATGATCTTTGTCTGGAAATATGTGTTTACAGGAAAATGTAATATTGTGAAATACTGAAATGTGTTTGTTTGTTGACTGTTGAACGCAGGATAAGACACTGAAGGGTGCACTTCAAGTAAGGGAAGGGTGCAAGGCAAGGATCGAAGCGGTAACATGCCGGTGAGAAGGAGTGCAAGATTTGTTCATGAGATGGACAAGATTGAAGCCCAAAATAAGCTGAAACGAAAAGAAGCGGAGATCTAAAGAGAAGGTAGAAAGCTTAGATTACAAGCTGGTAATATTGAAGTAGAAAATAGTGATGAGGACTTCGTTACTCTCACAAAAAACAAGAAAACCAGAACAATAGGTAATTCTGAGACCATTATACAGGGGAATGAAGATGAAAAGGTCATAGAGTTTAGAAAGTTGCGAACAAGGTCTTCACCACAACTCCTGGTTAGAGCAATGAAGGATATGAA